TTTTAGCAAACCCGTTTTCTGAATTACACTAGAACAAAGACAACAGAAAAAAAAATTACTTGAAAACGGCTTTAGGAAAGCCGTTTTCTGAATTACATTATTTTGTGGCAATTTATATTTATGTTGGAAAAAAAAATACTAGAAAACGGTTTTACAAAAACTGTTTTATATAAACTGAAAATTAATTAGACTTTAAGTAAAAACAGCTTTAGAAAAACCGGTTTTACGAAGGAAATTTTATTATTTTTTTTATTCATCAAAAACGGCAATGGCAACACCGTTTTGAAGAAAACGGCTTTCCCAAAATTGTTTCACCCTATATTGGGAATAAAGTAGAAAACACACCTTAGAGTGGGACTAAAATATTCAAAATGTAACAGTCAGGTAAATTGGCCCTTTAAATTAGTATAATTAAATTGATTTTTGATTTAAGTCTTATCTAAATCCAACTAATTCAGAAATCGAACTTATGTATATTTAAAATTTTATTTATATTTACACGTCTTTGCATAAGGATGATATAAATAAGTGTATTTTTTAACTTTTTACGAAAAAAATGTATAGAAAAGCAGAGAAGTGATGTGACTAAAAAAAGATAAAAAGATAAAAGACGTACTTATATAGTGTACTTCAAACCAAGCAAATATTTTTTTACGTACAAGACTTATCAATTGAACGAACGAAGTACTAATTAAGTTGAATTTCGTAATTGATTTAATTTGTATTGATTGTGTTTGAACTTGAATTGCATTTACTCTTTATTTGTGTTATGTTTAAGGGAAATTGAGCATTGAGCATTGAATAATTTTCATTAAATATAACACAAACAGAGAGTAAAATACTATTTAATGTAAATTAAAACAAATTAAATACAACTCAAGCTTAAAAACTTATTTTATAGTATGTTTAAATGTTAAAGACTTATATATTTTAATCATTTATTATTGAATAATGTGGTGGGCAAAAATCGTGCCCCCAGGTTGTAACGGCATTTCAACAGTTGTTGGATGCTTTCAGACCTGAAATATACTCACCAAAGAATAAAGAAGAGGTTGGGAAGCAACTGGAGGACTCTCCTATGTCTAAGTTAGTAAGAAAGTAAACAAGGGCATAATATATGAGTAGAAGTTCTGGTTGGAGTGTTGGGATGTGTGTACATTAACTCTGGATGTTATCTTTATTTATACTCTACTCTCACTAGCCATTATGGGCAGTTGCACCTCCCTTCACTCCTCACGTTCTTTTCTTTAGGGATCCTGTACCAAATTGGTGAGATTATCTAGGTGTTTGTGTAACACCCTAACTACTGGGCCTTTAATAAATCAACGCAACCTCAAATTTTAAATTCTAACTAATTAATAATCTCAAAAATACAAAATTGTCTCCAAAATAATTATACAAATATCTCCAAAATATAACTTATAAAAATCTCTAAAAATAATATATAATGGTGAGTCCAAAAATCCCTAACTCAATAATCCTTTAAATTCTTGAACTCCAACCGCCACTAAATTTGCTCCACACCTGAAAAATAAATTAATTCGAGAAATATACAATACAACAGGAATAACAAAGCTCGGATAGAGAATAAATTCACATGGATCCAATAATTACACAAACGATTCAATTCGAGATACCAAACAATTTACCAAATTGCACAAACAAGTAAACTCGACATATGATAATTTATCTAGGACCAAATAACCAGTCCTACTCAATACATGACCAGTGATTGGCCTCACCCCCCTCACCCAAGCACAACCGCTTATCCGAGCTATTGGTATAGAGCATATTGACAAAGTCCACTCGATCTATGTACGAAGCATTTCCACGTCATTTAGCTAGACAAATCAATATTTCCAACACAAAATAACTACACAGAGTTTATCAAATGACTAGAGTAATCAAACAAATCAATAACGAATAATTCCACAGAATTTATCAAATCATCAAGACGAGTACAAATTGAAGGTGATTAAAATAACACTGTTTGCAAAGAGATTTAAAGGAAGCATATTGTATACCACCCGAATTACCTCAAATCAATTTCCTCCGTCGCCAACACTCTAATCTCGATATTTCTCCATGGATCTCCAAAAATAACTCTAATCTTACTTTGATAAAATCTACAACTCTCATTTGCTATATCACCAAGGCAAAACATAATTTCCCAATTCAAAACCACTTAAAGATTAAAATGAAAAGGCCCATTTCAAATTTTTCCTAAGCCCGACCTTCCTATGGTTTGTAGAGAATTTTATCTAGTTTTCAAAACATTTTTCGAAAATGGAATAAATTTTCTAGATTTTTAGTTATTTTAGAAATACTCCAACTCTGTCCAGATTCGTCGACCATTATGAAAATCCGATTTTCTCACAAACCGCTCACTCTTTTTCAATGAAACTAATTTTCCTTGAAAGCCAAACTCCTTAAGGAATATTTTGACATAAAATTGAGGTCCAAAATATATTTCTACATTTTTCTAGAATTTTCGAAAGTTGGCTGTAAAACAGATTTTTCTGGCACAGTTCTTGAAATAAGAAAGTTTGTGAGAAAAGAGGTCAACTAGGGGAAATTTTTCACTTCTTTTGTGACGAAAACATGCTAAATAATATGTATTAAACTCAGAAATTAAAGATGAAGGTGTGCCTTTGGAAATTTTGAGAGATTGATATGGAAAAAGGTAGTCTTATACCGATTAAGAGAAATACAAGAAAGGTAGAATCAAGGCTCAACTCCTTTCATTTTTAACACAAGAATACCATCAAAACACCTCTGAAATGAATGTTTAAAACTTCTAAGAGCATGGATTTGAAACGAAAAGAAATAAGAAAGAGTTGTGTTGTGGCTTACTTGAGGGTTGTTGAAATTGCTAGCAAACTTTTTCTTCTTCTCCTCTCTTTTACCAAGCTGAACCTTTTCCCTCTCTTCTCCCGCAGCTGAATATAGTGTGCATGTGTGTGTTCTTGCATGTAAAATGCTATGGGAGGGGTTGTTTTCTTATAATGAATTTGGTACAAAAGGTCCTAAATGCCCATTGGTTGGAATTGAATTGGATAGTTTGGATTTAGTTTGAATTCAATGAAATAGTGAATGATTACAGGCCTTAATTATACAATTAATCATGATCTAGTAAGGATTTGGTTAGGATTGAACTTATGGTGGAGGCAAGTTCCATGATTTGGGAGTACTTGAATATTTTTTCCATGAATTCATGGATTTTGTTTGAAAAAGTGTACAATTTTTCTTTCCTTAGGGTGGCTGGCCATGTGCAAGAAATTTTGGGGAATTTTTGTTGATTATATATATGAAGATATTTTGTGTACAAAATTATTTATTTAAGAAAGGTGCAAGTGTATATATATGTGTGTGTGTGTGTGTGTAATGGTACTAGTTTGGGGTCAAAATGTGATTCAAGAAAAATATAAGGGCTTAGGTTCAATTAAAATATCTATTTCAAGTGTAGAGTTAACAAATTAGTGTTAGAAAAAATAATTCAGTTTGTGTTATCTTGCTTTGAATTTAAAGGTGAATAACCGAATGAAAACTGTGAAAACCGGAAGTTAAGGTTTAGAGAGATTAATCTAAAATTTGAGAGTTAAATAATTAATATTAGAGTGTTAAAAATGATTTCTAAGCTTCTAGGGTCGATTAGGATTTGTATGGGTTCGTTCGTGATGTGTTTTCGGTTCTAGGGTTTAATTTTACAAATAATCGACAAACTAAGGACGTTATTATAATAACTCAAAATTTAGAGACCTAATAAGATTTACAAAAATTAGGAGTCTCACAGTTTGTTGGGCCACGACTTTAGCGACACGCTTTTGACCCAATCTGCCTCTTGTGGGCGAGTGCCTCCATTCTGCTTTCTTACCCTGTACGTCTGAACCCCTAGTTTTGGACTTTTGGTCCTTTAAACCTGCCATTTTATTAATCTGGACTCAACTTTTTGGTTTCGCCTTTCCGAAGCTCATTTTAGCCTCCCATAATTGTCCCTCAACTCTGACTTTTTAGTTGTTCTGACCTTAGAATAAGTTAGAGTTTATCCGATAATAATGAGCTACCAAATCCTGTTATACTTTTATTGGGATTCAAATTTGTGCAATGATTCTTTTGAACCGTCACTTCTGAGTTGATGTCCTTTCGTCTGGTGCACCGCGTTTGACTTGGACACGTGCTTTCAAATTAATAGACCTAAACTGACGCGTACGTCAGGTGAAACGACATGTTTGTCAGCTCATATTGATTCGATGAGTATAAATCTCTTCCTCAGGCTTCCAAATGTCTAACAACTCAATACTGCCCCTCCCCTTCCTCTCTCTCTTCTTCCTCTCTCTCTTCGGCCAGAACGAAGAAGAAGAAAAGAAAAAAAAAAAAAATTCAAAAACTCCCAAAACGACGTCGTTTTGGGGGGCTGCCGGGTAGGACCGCCGGGTAGGACGACCGAGGATCCGGATTCGTACGTCTGAACCCCTGGTTTTGGACTTAGACCTGCCATTTTATTAATTTGGACTCAAATTTTTGGTTTCACCTTTTCGGAGCTCATTTTAGCCTCCCACAATTGTCCCTCAAGTCCGACTTTTTAGTTGTTCTGACCTTAGAATAAGTTAGAGTTTATCCGATAGTAATGAGCTACCAAATCCTGTTCTACTTTTATTGGGATTCAAATTTGCGCAATGATTCTTTTGAACCGTCACTTCTGAGTTGATGTCCTTTCGTCTGGTGCACCGCGTTTGATTTGGACACGTGCTTTCAAATTAATAGACCTAAACTGACGCGTACGTCAGGTGAAACGACATGATTGTCAGCTCACATTGATTCGATGAGTATAAATCTCTTCCTCAGGCTTCCAAATGTCTAACAACTCAATACTGCTTCCTTAAGAAATACAGTGCGAAAAAGGAGGGAGAAAGTTGAGGGATACTCCGACCGTCACCTTTTCGCTGCTCCGGGGAACTTGCTTCTATACCTCTAGTGATTGTAAGTCCCCTTTTTCTTCTCTTTTTTCCTTGGCTTCCTTTTTCCTTTGAATTCATGGGCAAATATCGCCAATTTCTTGAATCCCCTGAGGCTCTAGCCACTTTTTACTCATGATTTGAAATCCCTGAGGATGTCTAGCTCACGATTTGGAATCCCTGAGAATGTCCATATCTGTCTGAGACTGCCCACTGACAATCTCAATGGAGGTCTTGACTATAATTGCCTCCCACTTATCACCATTGTTGATGGAGAAGTGAGATTTCCCCTAAACCCCCTTCTACGAGAATGTCTAAGTTCCTTTACCCTTGCTCCCATCCAACTTTTTGCCAATATTTATCACACCATCAATGGCTTTTTTGAGTAGAACAAGACTCAAGGCCTTCAATTGGGACAGATGGAGATTCTATCCATTTATGTGTTAATCGCCTACAATGCCAAGGCTGAGGTAAAAGACCTCAAGTACTATCTGAGGCCCACAAAGATATCTAAAAAGCTCGTCACTGTCCTTTTTGAAACCAATAAAGACTTAGAGGAGGATATTATTACTGTTTCTGGGAATTGGGAATTTGATGATGATTCCCTGAAAATCTGGCTAGTCCCATGGAAGTTTGAGAGACTAGGTTTTGGTCTAGTTTTTCCTTTTTTGTCTTTTCTTTCTCTCTAATCTATGCTGTTTGATTTTGATCTTCCTTTTTCTTTCAGGTTCCAACATTAATGCGCTAAAAAACTTGCGACAATATCAAGTGCGACTTGATGATCTAAAGAAGGTTTGGGCTCGTCCCCAAGTAGAAAAATCTACACCCCGACTCCTTGGGTACGAATTAATTGGGCCCCATTTTCTTGACAAGGGAAAAACCCTTGAAGAATCTTCTGATCAACAAGGGAGTTTTACTAGTGTTGCTTTGAATGAGCAGAAATCTTTGCCTATAATTGACCTTACCATGGAATGATGGAACTATCAAACGTTGATGTGAAGGACCTAGCGGCTGCTCTCTTAGCCTGTCACACCACCCCTCATGCTCAAGAGAAAAAGAAGAGTCAACTGAACTTCAAATTGTGAAGGTAGAAAAAGAAATGGAACTTCTTTTGGACCCGCCCCAATTGTTGTGGCTGCGGACTTTAAGTCTCCTAAATCTGTGAAGTCTATAAAACAACTTCCTTTTATGAGCGAACTCTCTTCTCTAGAATTTCTTGCCTCCAAGCCCTCGAAAGCTAAGGGACCTTCTCAGACCGCTCCTTCTGATGTGGCTACAAACCGTTTTAGGCCCCAATGTTCTTGTCCAATCATGCCACTTACGTGTCGACCAACGATAGCTTCATGGAGACTCTTAAGTTGAGCTTCCAAACCAATAAAGGGTTTCTTCTGCCCAAGAATACGGCTCCTTTCAAAAAGATGGATGATGGAGTACTGCATCACATTCGCATATCTAGTACCATTACGGTAATTTCAGGTTCTTTTTTTTAAAGCAAAACTATACTTGCAAAATTTTGCTTGTTTTTCTTTTCAACCTTCTAATCCAACGTCCCTTCTTTAGGTCATCCAGGTATGCCACGAGAGCACAGCCAAGACTAAAAATGCAAGAATCGATGCCCATAATCAGACCAAGAAAGCAGTTGAGGCCATATGCTCTCGAGGTGAACTGGAGCAGAAGCTTAACCAGACCTTCGAGGTGGCCAAAAAGCTTCAGGTAGAGAAAGCTGTTGTTCACAAGGCAGTCCTGACTCTTCGTGGTGAACTTGATGAGGCCCAACAAAGTCTGGATTCTACTCTTGCTGCTAACAATGAAGTGAGGAAAGAGGGGGTGGAAAATTTGAACAAGTATGCCCTGGACACCAAAAACATGTACCTGGAATAGATTTATAAGCTTCAGGATGATCTGTTAGTGAATGGATGGAGGGCTACTCCAGAAAAAGTTGGGATCACTTCTTACTCCTCTATGTACTCTGAACTTATCCTTCATTGGCCTAAGTATACACCTGCTGCCAAAGAGATGGTAAAAGAAAAGGTTGAGGAGGAAGAAGAAGATCTTTCTGAGGAAGAACCAGCTGCAGTCACTGATGTTGAAACAACGGCTCATCAGATCAAGTTACTAGCTCTGGGGTCTCTGAACCTCAAAAAGAAGCTTCCTCCTATGTTACCCCTACACTTCCAACTGTTGAAGATTTTGCTCTTTTTGATTTCATTCTAGATAAAGTAGCCAAGGTTGTGCCTTTTGAAGCCTCTAAGACTGCTACTTTTAAAAACCCTGCTTTTTAATAAAGATGAAGATTTTTCTTTTTGCTTCTTTTTTGCCTTTTTTTTTTTTTTTTTGGGGTGCAACTTTTTTTTGGTTGAAGTTTGGTGTGAACCTTTTTGTTGGTTGAAGCCATGCTGTTTTATAAGGCCCAGTCCTTGGATGTAAATGGTACAATCCCTTTATAAAGTTATTTTTGCAATGAATTTCACTTATTTGTTACTTTGCGGGAATATTCTGAGCATGATTAGGTGTATGACACCCTCTTGCCCCCTTACCTTAGATGTTTTTAATAAAAGTAATTAAGGGTACAAGCTTTAACTTCTGCACAACTGCTATCATTTTGAAGTTTGGATAAAAATGGGGTAGCAATTCTGAGCAGGATTGTTTTTACTTTAAAGAATTTTGTCTAAGCATAGAAATAGGGATACAATCCAGGCATGATTGTCAGACTTTTTCACACTTAGAAGTCTAAGCATAGAAATAGGGATACAATCCAGGCATGATTGTCAGACTTTTAGAAATAGGGATACAATCCAGGCATGATTGTCAGACTTTTTCACACTTAGAAAAATTTAAAGAATTTGACTAAGTATAAAATGGGGCTATAATCCTAAATAGGATTGTCAGACAAAAATTAAAATATTTGACTAAGTATAAAAACGGGGTTACAATCTTGAGTAGGATTCTTTAAAAATTTTGACTAAGTATAAAATGGGGCTACAATCCTGAGCATGATTGTCAGACTTTTTCACACTTAGAAAAATTTAAAGAATTTGATTAAGTATAACAAGAAGGTTACAATCCTGAGCAGGATCGTCAAACTTTTTTGGACTTAGGAACTGATTCTTGAGTGCAGAAACCAAGCTACAATCCTGAGTATGACTGTTGCATGTTTTAATACTTAAGAAATTGTTAGAAATTGTACTTTCTAGGTTGGAATGTCTTGGGCTGGACTTTCTTATTGTGTGCCTGTGCAATCTGCTTCTAATAGTTTGCCAAGTGTACTAGCAACACTGCTTTCTTTTCCTCGTTCAGATCAAGGCTTCGTGCTACAATTTGCTTGTTCTGAACAAGTTCATAGACTTTTAATCTTATAGTAGGCAATCCAACTTCTAATGGAATTACAACATCCATTCCAAATGCTAGTGAATAAGGCGTTTCCCCTTGAAAATTCTAAAAACATTTAAGATAATGATTTATGATTATGATTCAATTTAAAGATTACCCAACTTATCGTTGAAATTATTCCAGAACGCAGAAATAATATCATTTTGCTTACTGTTATTAGCATTACCAGCATAAGATCGTACGAAAATTAGTATTTTGCAGTTTGTTTTTGCGGCACTGCAAAGCCGAATCATAATTGATTGTGTTGTTTTCATATTGACTTTGTGTTTATGTCTTGACCTTTTGGTATGATGGGGCATTAGGATTATTCGTTAGTTATTTGAGCCAACGTACGATGGCACGAGTTAGCTTGCTATAACGTATGATGACACGAGTTAGCTTGCTATTGAACCAACGTAGGATGGCACGGGTTAGCTTGCTATAAACGAACATCAATCACAATCAAACAATCAACAACATATCTACACAACAATTTAATGTGAAAAAAATCACAATTGGACTCCTCCAATTGTGATAAAAAATCACAGGCCAAAGCCACAAAACATTCCACTAAGAAGACAAAAAAGAATTACGCACGAGAACCCTCAATTACCTAGCAAATCCATGCCTTAATTGAACCGAATCCGATATGCCTTTCTACCACCCTCTTCACCTCAAAATTGTTTTGCCCAACGTTGAATCCGCAACGCCAATGTCAAATCCACGATGATGAGCCACTCCAGAATCCACTAAAGCTTCAAGCCCAAGTTCCCTAGAATCCACCGATGAACACCTCTCTCTTTTTGTAAACGAAAGAACAAAACCAACCCTTGATGTTTATCACTATGTAGTTCGTTAATCAATTGATCACCTTCTATACATCAAGGAAACTCATATATAAACACCCTCCAATATAGAAGAATTTGTTTGTTCTTTCTCTTTAAGAATCTGGATGGGTTAAACCCTAAAAGTAGCAAACATTGCACTTTATGCTAAACAAAGCCGCAAAAACCGCTCTAGCGCTCACTTTACCACTCGAGCGGTGTGACTAAAGGCGGTGCTCACATATAGTCCAATTGTTGTGGGATGCCTTTTTGGGGTTACTAAGCAAGTCCAACAATTCGGACTCCCAATCTCCTGATCTAGTTCCACAAGTGCAATGTGAAATGCAAATGAGAGTCCAAATCCAACAATTTGTATAGAAAATCCATTTTATTGCAAAAGCCTTTCCCAGAAAATGGACTATATCACCAGATCTAAAGTCACTACCTAATCTTTTGGAAAAACTAGAAAATCCATGACTCGTGCCAAAGACCACTGTCCGTCATAACCAAAGTATCTCGGTTTGGGAACTTAGGTATGAGAGGGGAAAGTCATGAATTGAGCATCCCACTCACCCGATCAAAAGATCGGCCTCTACTAAGTCATGATGAAATTTTTATAGTCTTCATATATTCATATTCTATTTTTTAAATAATACTAACAAAACTATCTGAGGCATACAAATATAGATTGTGTCACTTATTCTGGTTATGCTTTGATATCATGCATTTTGGAAAGCATTTTGTACAACTCGGCCTAAAAAAAAAAACTCAGCAGCTTAAGTCTCAACAATATTCCAGCGTAAACAATACAACTTCCATCCACTGGCATCTATACGGATATTTCAATTAAACATCTCATGATATAGCAAGGAGTATGATAAATAACATGTACACACAAAATGCTAAAGCGAAAAAAATGCTCACCTAGTACTCTATGATAAGCAAAAAAAATGGGTTAGAAATAAATACATGATCCTATATACAGATAGCTAATGCAATACACCCACAATATGCAACTAGGGATTCAATTACTACCAAATGGCATGTGTATCATTTCAAGACATGAGATAGCGCATAGAACACCTTTTGAATTGATAAAATCCATAAATGCAAATGAACCAAATCCGTATGTGATTAAGGCTGAATTGTGCAACATTGAGTCCATTAATTAGGATCTCTTAACTTTACTTGCTTGTCAAACTATATATTTTATGCCTATTTAATGTCAATCAGGTTACACATAGTGGGAGAATAAAATGAGCAAAAATACAGAATTTTGGAGAGAAAAGTTCTTCCCGTACGTGCGGAGGCCCATTCTCTTACGTACGGCCTTTACCTCGCAGCCAAACAAGGCATAATCTTCCCGCACATGCGGCACCCCTTCCCACATGTGCGATGACCACTCCCGCACATGCGGTCGTACCTCGAATTTCGTGCTGCTATTTTGAACTTGTTTGAAAGACATCAAGGGGATAAAAAGAAAAAAAAATAGGCTGAAAGGAGGTTCTAAAAAATTGAAGGAGAAAGAAGAGGCTAGGGTTTGGAAAAAGGTGATTCTTAATCTTCAAAGCAAATTCCCATAGAGGGTTCCATCTCTTCCACCTCTTTCCACTTCTCCATGAGTGGTTAGGCTCTTCTTTTCTACGGTTTGATGAAACCCTAGCTATGTAATTAGGTTTTCTTTTTGGTTTTTGATTATGTAAAGGTTTGAACAATTGTATGGTATTTTAGAAGTTTCAAATATATATTTTTCACCATTTCTTCGAGTATTCGGCTTTCTGTGATTGTTGAATACTTTCCATACAATGGTTTTCTTTTCTTTCATATTCAAGGTATGAGACGAGTCATACTACGAGGGACAAGTTGTTTTGCTACCCTAGTTTAGAGCGAACGACTCGTACTACTTGAGATGGTTCGTGCCTATATATTGAACGTGATAACTCTCTTGATAAATGCTTCGAACTTATAGTTTAGTTCGAACCGTAGCATAATTGATTTCAAATTGAAACCTTATTTACGTAACTAGTAATGAACTCATTGCCCTAGGTTTTTCCCCAAATCAGTAAATTCATCTTTATTTATTATTGCTCGTTTATTCGCTTTGTTTAATTTAATTATTATTAGGTTATGAACAATCAATTTTTTTTATCAAAATTAATTTAGGAATTTAACAATTAAACTAGTTTAATTTCCCGTTTGTCCCTGTGGACCGATACCTAGACTTGCCATTATTCTAAGGAGTTTGGTATAGTTTAGTGTTTATTTTTGGTGTGTGAAACGATCCATCAAATTTTGGCGTCGTTGTCGGGGACTTCTGACAAAATTAATTAATTTAAAGTTACATTCTTATTTTAATTTTTAGTTTAGGATTTTATAATTTTTTTTTTTTTTAGTGTTGCTATGTGTGCAGAGTGTTTGAAAGTGGAGCTATCACCGAAGTGCAAGCGGAGTGCACCGAGCTTTAAAAACAAACCGCAGCATTAAAGTTCTATAAAAAAAAAACAAACAAACAAACACTCGCAAGCAAAGCACCAAATTGCTAAAAAGAAAGACAGAGCTCAATTGGAGGTTGGAGACAACGTCTACATGTCAAGCACCCGCAAGACAAGTAAAATGTTTTCGTTAAATCACTATGAGTACTTCTGCCTTTGGTATTTTGCTTTCATAACTTATTACACAGAGTCGGAACTTAGTGTGTGTGTGTGTGTGTGTGTGTGTGTGTGTGTGTGTGTGAGTAGTGTATACACGGGCGCCGTTCTTGTTGCCTTGAATTGTGGAGTTTGGACCTTGAACTAGAAAGGACTCTTAGGAAACTTAGAGCTTCTGCTCGTGTTCCTAGACTTGAATATTCATATCCATACTTCAAGCCATTAGAGATGGCGAATCCGAATAGCCTAAATGGGCCCAACCAAACCCTTAAGGATTACTTCACACCCACTGCATATACATCACCATCATGCATCCAATTACCCGACACTGCTGCTGCTCATTATGAGATTAAGTCCAGCACCATCCAAATGCTCCCATCATTCCATGGACTTGCTCATGATGACCCTTATAAACATCTGCATGAATTTCTAGAAATTTGCTCTACAATGAGGATCCAGAATTTCACCAATGAGGCCCTAATGTTGCGTTTGTTTTC